AGAAGGTGTTTTTTGTTAGGTTTTTGTATTCATTGCTGCTTTTCTGGCAGCAGAAAATCTCCATAAGTAAAATAATAATAGTCATTTGGGTAACATGGCTAGTCAGTTTCTTGCTGAGAGTTAGAGGACATCACACCACTTGCATGTCTAAGTGGTAAATATGCAGCTATAACCTTATGCTGCTTTAGTTGAGCTTAGCATAAACATTTAAATCAGTGGGTACAGCTAGTATAGCCCGTTTAGCAGAGACAAAATATGCCTTCGACCTGCAACATATAACCCTGTAAAAGGGCAAGTTACACTTAAATGTTTTAGTACATATTAAAGATGTGTTATTTAGTGAGCGCTAGTGGTGCTGGCAGGCACATTTTGTTATTTTGAGACAGAGGCTAGGCTAGCTAGCTAGAACTGCAGCCCTCTCTTCAGTTATATGCGCTAAGCGAAGCTAACTGTCTCCTGACTCTTTTTTCAGATTCATCCACTATATAGTCATATATTTTAGCTTTCCACCAAAGATAAATGTGTATTTCCCAAAAATGTCAAGCTTTAATTCCTTTTATGGATTTGGAATTTGGAGATTGTCAACAGAAAGGCTTTTGGGGAGGGATGACATAATTACATTTGGTGGAAAAGTGGATCTGGGATTTCCACTATTAGATGAGCATCTTTGATCGGAACAATGACTCTAGAATAGATTCTTGTTTAGAAATAACTATACAGGGTAAGACATATTTTTATCTCATATTTTAAGAGATACTGTATGTCTTAAAGGATAGTAGGGGCATTGTGCACCATTAGTGGGAGGTTCATACTCTCTGAATGCTGTGTACTGTGCTGCTGTGTGAAAGATTAAAACTATTTTAGGCGACAGGATGGATATGAATACACTGGTTTATCTAAATTGTATTTTTTTCCTGCCATCCCCCCATCAGACTCCTCTTCATCTGGCAGTGATCACCCAGCAGGCGGACATGGTGGATGCTCTGGTGAGGGAGGGGGCCGACCCTTCTGCCTTGGACCGTAACGGCCAAACAGCACTCCACCTCGGCTGCGAATATGACCAGCGTGACTGTCTGTCTGTCGTGCTCTCTCACCCCTCATCCTCCACATGCCTAGAGTTGAGAAACTATGAGGGTAAGTTGTCTGCAGAAGAAGCTCCAGGGTCTGCATTGTGTTGAAGTTGTTCTTGACAAAAGTGCTATTTTAGACACTTTGATAAAGCATAATTTGCAAAACATGTCCGAGCAGAAACTTGCTCAAATAAGTGAACAACAACATAGACTAACTTAAAATTTTTTTGGGGGGGGTATGATTCACAAATGTGAACCCTTCTTCAGGATATGGCTCGTTGTTTTTGGGCGTGTGGGTGGAGAGAGCAGAGACATGTCCTTTCTCTGTGGTCTGTGTCACACTGCCGAATCTTCACAGCCTGTGATGTCAAAGCACAGGACACATTTTTAGTGAGAAAGTAACAATCTAGGTATACTGTAGGAGAAAGCCCCCAAAATAAACACAGGTTCCTCTCTGGGTTTAAGTGAAGCTGTAGAAATGGTTAGATCATAACATTAAAGACACTTCAGCTGAATAACAACATCTACCTACTATACATTTGACAGTATAAAATCTGAGATTACATGAACAGACATTAGATATTCAACTGTTGTGTGCTGAAGGTTTACGCACACTGCATAAAGACTTCTCAAGGAATCATTCACCCCAAAAATTATCATTTGCTTGTGAATTTCTCACTGGGGGTTACCTTGTTTTCTTGAAAACCTTGGTTTCTCTTGCATATGTCCAAAGTGAAAGTAAAAAAACAGAGAAAGTCCTGATGCATTGAAGTGAATATAGGCCAAGTTTAACAAGAGTCAAACTACAGCAAAACATCCCTTTACAAACTTGTTCACAGCTAGTTCACTGTAATGTATACTCACTACTTCCTGAACACATGCAAACGTTCTCCACAAATTCAAAGTAAAAAAAAGAAGTAACAAGGGTGAGTATTTGATATATCAATGGTAGTTTGTGGATTAAGTATTCCTTAAAAAAATTAAGAAATGTGAACATATCAAACCAATTCTCTGGTCTCTCCACTGGCGTCCTGGGTGCTACATGATCGAGTTTGAGATGCCCTTGCTAGTCTACAAATCATTCAGTGAAAGAAACCTCTTGACCTCTTAGGTCACCTCGAAGCAGTTTGCTTTCCAGTCCCACTGAAACATAGAAAATCATCATTTAGTTATATCGCTTCTTCTCCTAGCTGGTAAAGCCCTTCTATGAGATGAAATGCCCAAGCATCTTGCACACTCTGTCATCTTTTGTATCGCTTTAAAATGCTACAATCCTTTTTCTAATGCTGTACTTCGACATTCTTTAATAGTCTGTGCTAATACTGCCTATGTCTCTCAGAATGTATACTGCGTGTGGAGGTATGTGCAGGTCCATGCTGGAGATTGTACATGCATTCACCTTGATTTGTGTATGGTGTGTTTATCTGCATTTGCTCACATGTTCTGCTTCGTCCCTGTTCTCAGGTTTGAGCCCTCTCCATCTGGCGGTGCTGCGTGGCCATACACATTTGGCCAAAATGCTGCTGGATGCAGGCGCTGACATCAATGCGATGGTCAGTCCCTGTGCTGCCCTTACTCAGCTCTGACTAAGTTTCACAACATCACATATTTTACATTTACCGTCTGTGCATCCTCTGATTATTCCCACTGTGCTTTTCTTTTTTTCCTCTAATCAGGACAACAAAAGTGGCCAGAGTCCTCTCATGCATGCGGTGGAGAGCAATAACGGAGACATGGTCCACTTCCTCATTGAGGTAATGAGTGTGTGTATGTGTGTGTGTGTGTGTTGGTATGGAAAAGGGAGCGTTTGTGACTCAGCTGTATTTGATGACTCTCTTTTTGTGGTTCTGGCTCATAAGGTGCACAATGAGTTTCTTATTCTATTCTAACTTAAAGATAAGGCCTTCAAAGAATTCGAACAACAATATTTAAAGTTTAGCTATTTCATCAGAATTTGTGCACTGCAGATGTGATGTACATCAGCAGATCATTTTTTTCCTTCATCTCCCCTTTAAAACATTTTCTATCCTTTGCCTCTCCTATCTGATCCAAGCCTATCCATGGATCTGTTTCCCTATCAATGCTTAACAACGTCTCCCTCTAGCTTTCTATATGAATCACATGTGTGTCAACTTGTTCGGTTTTTCTCTTGTAGAGTGGCTGTGATGTCAACAGCCAGTCATACAGTGGGAACACAGCCCTGCACAGCGCGTGTGGCAGAGGTCAGGTGGACACGGTGCGGCTGCTTCTGAAGAGCGGAGCTGACAGCAGCCTCAAGAACTACCACAACGACACCCCTGTGATGGTGGCCAAGAACAAGAAAGTGAGCAAGAAGATGACGGAAAAAGAATGCAAAATAAAACAGATCTTGCGGAAATTCAATTCTTACTGTGGCATTCGTTTTAGCCTTTTTCATGGCTGTGATTTGCTGTTTCAGGATCATTCAAATAGCGTCAAGAAAACAATGAACCCCAAAAGCAGGTTACTTAATTGACTGTGAAGGACTTCCTTGGGATGGCCTTATTACACACTGTCAAATTATTTGTAAAATCACACCACTACTTCAGTGGACATTACAAATGCAAACAATTGAACATCTACTAGACTAAGCTGTGGATAAGATAGAAGGAAGAAAAAGATTAAGCAAGAGATGGACATCAAATGTGTGTATCCTTCCCTCTAGAGGACAGACCTGAATGGTGCAATTTGTTCTCCAAAAATATTATATCCTTGTTTACTCAAGTTGTTTGTTAAGAGATCATTGTGACACGTACTTTAGGCCATTCAAACAAGTTTGTTATAGAGACTATAAATATTTTGCAGATATCAGACGTGTTACGAGGGAGAGGCTCCAACCAAATAAGAGTTCAAGATCAACACTGTGTGTCCCTCTCATCACATGGGAGCAATTTAACAGAAAATGGTAAGAAAAATGAACACAGGCTCAAACGCACAAGTACAACTTAAATCACAGTTTTTAATTTGTTATCTTTGCCTCTCTTTTAGGGTCCCCATCTTCCAACCACAGTTATGGATATTCACCTGCAACAACACCACACACCCCTAATCCTAGCACCTCCCATTCACCAAAGACTCAATCTACACTTGTGTTTCCATTTTACTAAGTTATGTCCGGTGTACATAGCGACTACCTCCACACAACTAACCTGGAAAAAGAGACTTCACTGCCCTAAGCTATACACTGAAGTCAGCAGAAGGATACTTCAGGAGATTTAGCCAAAGGGATGACAGAGCAGTGACTGCATCTGAATTATAACGTCCTCACACTCCATGTTAAAGGGCAGTTAAAGTTTGCACTGTTGGGGCTTGATTCCTGGACAGGGTGCTCATCTGCTCATCCAGCTGCTGTCGTGTGCACCTCCCTAATAACCAGGACAAAAGTGACTGAAAAGCTGGACTTCTCCGTGTGAAGTTATTCCATGCAGCAACAGAAATGTGCAACTACATGCAATCATGGCCTAACATTGAAGACTGTTTTTAAATTGCATGGATATTTGCATAAATCACGGACATGGGGCTAAGCTTGGTGAACTCAAGGGTCAATTTAAAAAGTATTTTTGGCCTTTTTTGTTGAGTGTTGAGAGATGGCTACAAAAATGAAGGTAAAAAAAATACAGGAACGTTAAATCTTGTATCCAGGCTGCTTACAATGTAACTTGACTCGCTTAATATTGCACATTTATAGTCATTTTTAACAATATGTGTCCACAGTACCTTTCAGATGTGTGCGTGCCTGTGCAAGTGTTCTTTTATCACTATGAAAAATTGTATTTTTTATATAAAATGTGTTCAACAGAAGCGACCTTTGTCTTGATTTTTGTCAGCTTGTCCCACACACAGCAACATTTGAAAGCAGCGCTCTTATTGGTCAGTGGGAGGTGCTTTGGAGCAAACAACCAGCCCAAAAACGAACGCGCGGCCATGTTGAATTGTCAATATTTCGAAAGAAGAGACAAAAGAGCGAAAACTCGATGGATTTCTTGAAACAGCAAGTATTTACCGAACTTAATTAAACCGTCGACGAAACGTTAAGCAACGACACAACAAGGAGAAACTGTGTGGAAGTAGCAAAGTGAAGCTAGCATCGCCTCTCAGGTTGGATAAACAGTATTTTCTCATTATCGATTAACAGAACCGTGTATGTTAACTGTGCTAAGCTAACACTAGCATGCTAACTTAATATTTTGTTTGTGTTGAATAAAAACGTTGAAGTAACAGAAGCAATCAAACAAAAATAGTGCCACGGTTGTTAGGGGTTTTGGATATTGTTTATCGATTAAATGTTTAAAATAGGTCCCCTTAAATACGTAATTTGACAAGTTCGCGTTAGCATGCTAGCTTAACTGCTAAAGCCACGTTGCTATGCATAAAGTTTTTACGCTGCTTACAGTCTTGCTAACTAACTTATTTCAAGCTAACTTTTCCATCGGTATTAACGGGGTGTTAATTAAATAAATGGCACACTGAGCAATAACCGGGTGGTTGGTTTATTTTGCTTTTAGTTCAAAAGATTAAATATGTAAGAAAAAGTCCAGGAGCTAACTAGCTAACTTTGAGTTGATTTGAACTCCCAAACTGCGTTAGCTTTAGGTTAGCTTCTACTCTTAGCATCACAACAAAGACGCATTTGCACAGTCGTTATTAATGGCGGTGTTAGTGTTTGCTTTAATCCATAGTTGTAACCCTGTTAATTCTGTAAACATTACTTGGATGTAACATTGACGGTGCCTGTCAATTTGAAAGCCATTTTTTTCGGTCTAGTGTTGTTGTTGCCGAACTATTGCAAATTCCTTTTATTATGCATCTTTATTGAATAAGGACCATGCATTGTACATTAATGCATGTACTTTGAATCTCAAGGACAAAAAGGGCTAAATGCCAGACTATAGCTAAAAGCTAATATCCGTCTGCAGTCGACACGCATAACAATTAACACAGTTTAAAACATTTCCTAGGTCCCATCACACTGACAATTAAAACCATATCAAAATACAGCTGTATACAATAGAAATACTAGGACCATTTTGATATGTAAATATAATTTTACATTTAAACAAATCTCACATTACAGTAAAATTAATGTTGGAAAGACTGGTTTCCGCAAATAAAAAATGTTTTGCACATCGGGGAACAACTGTGAACATCTGAGCAGGTTTTAAGATCAGCAGAAAGCATATTCCAATTATTCGATATTTTCGCACACAAATTGAACAACTTTCATTTTAAAACATACATCTTTTTTTGGTACATATTTGTATACTAATTGATCATGTTATTGATGACCACTCACCATGGCAGTAAACCTTATTGTGATTCTGACGTTATTTTGCTACTGGGTATTGTTTGGATTGCAACTCATCAAAGATGGTTATTCCTCATGCACATATCTGAAATGTTTGGTTCTGATTTCCTGTATGGATTTTTTTTTTATTGCCTGACAGGTAACTTGGATTTTTCTGTTGAGCTGCAATTCCCAAAGCACTTTGCAGACGATCATCTCAACATTTGCCACTGACCTAAAGAAACCCGGAACAGGATTACCACAGACATTTTGAGTGGACCGTCCCATGTTTTAGGACAACATTGCTGGAGTGACTTTTTGAGCCAGTATCGAGCCCCAGCAAAAAACATTTGAAGACTTTTGATGACAAAGAAACGAATCATAAGAATAGTCTTGAGACGTGACCAAGCAGAATATATTTTACTACTGGCCAATTTGAATGTACAGACATAGCACTTGGATTTAAAAAGCCAAGATACTCAGAAGAACACAAAAAGATCATTCTGAATTATACAGCCAGGATAAAAGTACTGAAAAACTATTTTGAAAAGAAAAGAGTTTGTTTTGGTCACATGCTTGATTTATTTATTCATATGAATGTTAATTTCTCCCTTTTTTGGAGAGTTGTCTTGTAAATAGACATAATTCATACGCAGACCTCTAATTTTCAAGAGGTCTTAACGTCAGATTGTGTACGCAATACATTCTTTAAAAATCATCAGACGAGTTATTTTTTCAGCTTTTAGTTGTTTTTTTTTTACACACGGGTGGGCAAATAAAACACATTGAAGCAAAATTGCCAGTGAATGTTGATCTGTTGATGCAATGGCTACAGCAAGAACAGCAAACCCAATGATTGGATTGAACAAACCAGCAAATGGGCAGCTCAAAGGACAGATGGGACTCCTTTCGGGTGTCCAGCAGTCGTCTGCCCTCCAGAAGAAGACCAGCATTCCTCAGAGCAGCGGGGGCATCAAGTAAGCCCCAGTTCCATATTCTCTAATTCTGCATTAAAGGAAAAGTTACTCCACAGTTATTGTTCTGCGCTGTCTGCCCCTTCCCCCATTCTTGATCATATACATGGGAAGTAAATAGTTTTAGGGCTCTATATATTTCAGAGACCTACTTTTTGTGTCATTTATTAAGCTCGAATATTGTTATTTCTTACACTTAGATTTGGTGATGACTGGAAGAAGTGCCTGGACCTGCCTCCGAAGGACTGCAGGATGAGAACTTCGGTAAACTACGGTTGGATTTTGAATGTTTTAATGCGTTTAGCCTTCTAATGGTGTCCCGTTAACCTCTGGGTCCTTCTGAACAGTAATCTCATGTTTCTGATTTGTTCTCCCAGGATGTGACATCAACTAAGGGAAATGAATTTGAAGACTACTGCCTAAAGCGCGAACTGCTTATGGGCATCTTTGAAATGGGATGGGAGAAACCGTCCCCTGTCCAGGTAAGAGAATGTATAACACGGAGCCCTCATGGTTTTGAGGCCTGAGACTTATTTCTTTCTGAACCTTTCTAAAAAGTTTCCTCAGGTCTTTTCACATAACTCATAATTATTCATCTGACTGCACTCAGTTAAACCCAGAACACTGCCCCTTTTTAGTTTCTTGTTTGTGTAGACACAACCCTCCTCTCTAACAGAGTAACTTGACCATGCCATCTGAAACCTTGTTACCTTGTATTGTGAAAGCTGAGGACGAGGGTCTTATAGGAATGTGGTCACACACACAAATGTAGGTCTGCCTGTCTTTACCTAAACAACATATTGCACACTTTTAGATTAAAGTATAATGGCACTCAGAGATGCCTTTTTTTTCTTTGTAGTTTGTACTGTTTTTTTATTTTGGTATGTTTCACCAAATATGTGTCGTGTCCAATTGACCATGCCCATTGCACTGACTGGACTTCTCTCTCCGTCAACAGGAGGAGAGTATTCCCATCGCTCTGTCAGGCAGAGATATTTTGGCTCGTGCTAAGAATGGCACAGGAAAAAGTGGAGCCTACCTCATCCCTCTGCTGGAGAGGATAGACCTGAAGAAGGATCACATTCAGGGTGAGTTTCTGCTGCCTCAACTGAAGCAGAATTTGAAGGACAGCTGTGTTGTAGCAGCAGAGATGGTGTCAGTAAAAAAAGAATAAAGTATATTTGAACCATATAGATTTTTTTTTTGTATCCACAATCTCTCCAGCACATAGACATGGCCATGACCCCTGTTATTTTCTCCCAAATTAGAATTGATTTCAGTTTCGTGGGAAATAACTGTTGATCGGAAACTATAAATACCTCTTTGTTGGGTTGATGCCACTCTATTTAATATTCTCTATGCGTCTCAACCCTGGCATTTCATCAGCCCTTCCCATTTTTGTCTCAATCCAGCCATAGTAATGGTGCCAACAAGAGAGCTGGCCCTGCAGATGAGCCAGATCAGCATCCAGCTCAGCAAGCACCTCGGTGGTGTCAAGGTGATGGCGACCACGGGTGGCACCAACCTAAGGGACGACATCATGCGTCTTGATGAGACAGGTATTGGTTGTGCCGTTAATATTCAATATAAGGAAACAAACGTTTTCAATGAAGGAGATTCAAAGGATTTATTGTCATATGCACATAAGCTACAATGTAGAAATGACATTCTTCTGACCTGACCTCCTCCAGCAATGCAACATGTATAATAAAATATTGCATAAAGTCTATATACATGTAAATAGACTGTTATGTACAAGAACCAAATATGAAATAATGTACATTAAGACAAAATTAAATATGGTTTATTGTTTTGTTTATCTTGCCACACATTGGTGCCTGATAATTACAACAACAACAAAAATCATCCTGGCTTCTGTCTTGTTGCTAATCCATTTCTGCTACTTCCCTATAGTGCATGTAGTGATTGCTACACCAGGCAGGATCCTCGACCTGATCAAGAAGGGCGTGGCAAAAATGGACAGAGCCCAACTGATTGTGATGGATGAGGTAGGTTTGGCTCTTGAATTCATTGTTTTGCTTTTCCATATTGTTTCCTGTGTTTTTATAAACGGCTCCTCTGTATTCATTATTTCACTTTTCTTTCTTCAGGCAGATAAGCTGCTGTCCCAGGACTTTGTGGTCCTGATTGAAGATATCATCAGCTTCATGCCAAAGGACCGTCAGATCTTGCTTTACTCTGCCACATTCCCCATCAGTGTGCAAAAATTCATGGTGAGGACTCGCTGAAGCAATTCCGTCCTCCCAAGATGTTTAAAATAAAGCGTTTTGTTTCATAACACACGATGAATGTTGTTTACAGAGCAAGCACCTGTCGAAGCCGTATGAGATCAACCTGATGGAGGAACTGACCTTGAAGGGCATCACTCAGTACTACGCTTATGTGACTGAAAGACAAAAGGTCCACTGTCTCAACACACTCTTTTCTAGGGTGAGTATTCGGCTCGTGACATTCAATGGTCTACTTTTGTAACTCGTACTAAAAAGCTATGTTTCTCTGCCCTTTCTGGTTGAATTTCGAGACAGATTATTTTTCCAATCATTGATGGTTTTATGGTTTATTTGACAAAACGGACACAAGCTGCCTTTTTGTTCATCCTGGAATGAACTCTAACTTAGCGAAGCCGCAGGATACCCGAGGCTGGGAGCATAAAGACATGTTTTTTTTCATCCTTCAATTGAATCTTTATATTTTTCCTTACAGCTTCAGATCAATCAGTCCATCATCTTCTGTAACTCCACCCAGCGGGTTGAGCTTCTGGCCAAGAAAATCACCCAGCTGGGATACTCGTGCTTCTACATCCATGCAAAGATGATGCAGGAGTACAGGAACCGTGTGTTCCACGACTTCAGGAATGGATTGTGCAGAAACCTGGTCTGCACAGGTATGTGACCAGAGTATATATTAAAGTGGAAATTGAAATGTATTGATAGTCGAAATGTTGACTAATATATGTACTTTCTTGTAGATCTGTTTACTCGGGGAATTGACATCCAGGCAGTGAACGTGGTCATCAACTTTGACTTCCCTAAAAATGCAGAGACCTACCTGCATCGCATCGGCAGATCAGGTATGACGACTAATTCATAAGTCCTCAACTTCAACTTCTTTCAAAATCCGTCCAGTTTGACACTCGTCACTTCCATCACATAACAGCTTCTCTGTCTCTTCTCTTGCAGGGCGCTTTGGTCACCTGGGTCTGGCCATCAACCTGATCACTTCAGAGGACCGCTACAACCTAAAGAACATTGAGGATCAACTGGTCACTGACATCAAGCCCATCCCCAGCTGCATTGATAAGAGCCTGTATGTGGCCGAGTTTCACTCTGTGGACCCCGATGCCGAAGACGACGAACTTGAGATCGGGGGCCGAAACAAGGAACTGGGAGGAATCTGAGTAAAGGGTCAGTTTCCCTTTTTGCAATCCTTGATTTTTTAAAAACACACCTTTTTCAAAGCTGAAATGTTGTAGTAACCCGGGCTGTACCTGTCTAATCATCAGACACACATCTTGAGCAGGGGATTATCTGCTGATAACACTTGCTTACATGGGTCATAATTCAGCTGCATATTTAAGTCTGACCTGCTGAGTATTTAGGGCTTTGTGTGGCTGGTTTTAAGAAGCTGTAAAGCTGCCTCTAATGCGTCCAAGAAGAACAGGGTTGTTATTTACTGGACTGCCCAGCTATATATATCCTGTTCAAAGCTTTGACTGGTGGCGTTAAACCTGCTTTTTTTAACATTCATCAGCCAGAAAGTGAGAATAATATGACAAAGTAAAAGAAACTGTGAAACTGCATTTAACTTAGTGCACAATGTTTTGGTATGTTGGTACCAGTGGAACCATCCGAGTACTCTACCTTTTGTGAATAGCAAATAGTAGCAACCTTGCTAATTGATAGAATCCTCTGCCAACGAGATTATCTGCAGTTTAAGGGTTAAGGGCTGTCCTCCTGGGGCTGCACAACAGCAGTCAACATAGATTTGCACCGAGCGGATAAGCGCACACAGCCAGCCGCCTTCTCTGCACGTTTTTCTAAAGCATAAATACTAACTCTGCTTTTGTTTTTATTTTCAGGAGAATCAAGGCGACTGGCACTCATCACACAATATTGGCTATGCATCACACAAGATTCCAAGTGATGACTTCTGTTCCCCGTTTTGCCACCAAGATGGTCTTTTTTGATTTTGATTTATTTTCACTCCAGTTCGAGTTTCCAGCTATCTCCAGTTTTGTCTGTGCACACTTTAAGGTAAACTGCCACTTCAATCAGTTGAACTCTCAGCCCCGCTGACAGAGATGGACATGTGATATGGGCTGTTGTCGTTGTCTGTTATTGAAATCAGCCACTCAACTATAGATGAAAGTTTTCATGAACAACTTTTTTTTGTACTTTGCTTTGAGAATGAAAATGTGAAACCAAAGGTAGACCTGGAGCCATAGAGCCTGCTCACATTCTCTCTGTGCAGATGAACTACATATGGCAGTGTGCACATCCTGCAGACATGCCCTTGACCAGAGGCTTTGGGAACCCCTTTTTATTAACAATTTACACTCAGTGGCTACTTTATTTGATACACCTGACTTGATGGCAGGGAGGTTCTGGCAACATTCCTCAAGAGATTGGTTCATGTTGACATGACGGCCTCATGCTGTTGCTGCAGATTGGTCCCACTCGTGCTGTAGATTGTTTAACCTTCTCTTAAAAGTGCTCTGTTGAATTGAGATCTTGTGACTGCGGGAGGCCATTTAGCTCGGCTCTTGTTTGAAATGTCGTGGTCTTTGTTGAGGCAAGGGATCCATAAAAGAAATGGCCATTAGAAGAAGGGTAAACTGGCCATAATGAGATGGACGTAGACGACAACATTTAGAGAAGACTTTGTCATAAAGAAAGTTAGAATTACTTTCATCCGAAATGTTTGTTTCATGGGTTCGCCAAATCTGACCCTACTATCTGAATGGCAAGGCAGCACTTTTCCAATCGGCTGCTTTGCAATGCCGGTGAACCGGTCTCGTCGAGCCGCAGTTTTCTTTGTTAGCATACCTCTGTTACACATGGTTATTTGTTACTGGCGGCTTGAACCGGTCCTTCCACTCTCCTCTGACCTTTCATGAATAAGACAATTTGGCTGTCACAGATGCCACTCGTTGATATGTGTGAAATCCCCGGAGGTTAGTACCAACAATCATTCCACATTCACTTTTCTTCTCCTATCATATTTGGTCCCGACAACTTAACTGTTTGACCATACTTATGCATTGAGTGGCTGATTTAGATATTTACATGTAGGAGTTGGTTTACCTAATAACGTTGCCACTGAATGTTTTTCTTTTGTAACTTTGGTCGTCATTCCAGTTGGTTATTATAGCATTTCCCCGAAAAATGTTCTGCAGTCATTTAGGGATGCAGTGGTTAAAAAAAAAAGCAGAGACTTTCCACTTCCATAGTTTAACCAATTTTTGTTTCAAAAGGGAACCAAAGCAGGAAGAATAGACAAAGATTCAAAAAGAAAAGATATTGCTTCAGAAACCAAAACGACCACTCTGCTGAGTGATGTTTTAAAGAGGGCTGATATGATGCTGCAGGCGAGCACCTGTGACATTGTTGAGTGAAATGGCTACTTTTTTTATATTAAAGTGTTTACTGCCGAGAAAAGGAGGTTCAAAGATGGCGGCAGTGTAATGTCAGTGATAATGGCGCGTTTTGTAGAAGCACAGATCAAATTATGACAAGTCAGTATTTGTTTCTTTGATCCCTTTTTAAAAAATCCATAGACAGCCTTTTTCTGGTTTTGAGGTCATTGGTAATGAACAGGACGAGAGGGGCCTTAGTTAACTCGATGAAACCAGCCAACTGCTTCGGTCTTTTCAATGTCGATACTGTGTACCTTCTTCCCTCCAAAGTGCCTTAAAGGGCCAGTGAGTAGAATTTTTAAGGGGAATTGTTCGCACAAATGGAATATAATATTCATACCTATGTTTTTGTTTGACTAGTATCTACATAGGAAGTTGGTCCTCTTGGAACAGGAGGGGTACTCAGTCGGTTGAATCTGTAACCCCGTAGCCAGATGGCGTCAAATCCTACACACTGTCCCTTTAATCAAACGTCTAACCTCTATTTTGCCCAGACTCTTGAACAAAGGTTGAATTGTAGGTAAATCGGCACCCTATTAGTTTCAGTATGTTTTTGCAGAAAGGATTTTTCAGTTTCTCCTTCCTAAAGAAATGTATTTGTCTAAAGACAGAATTGTAAATATGACCAGCTGTCTGAATATATTATATACTCCTTGACTTTAGCACAATGTTTCGAACGATGCAGTTAAGATTGAAAACGAATACTTTTTTTATTGATTCCTTTGCTGACAATTGCATTACTGCTAAGCACCAGCAGAGAAGGCCCCATGTGTGCCCATCTCCTAAAGCTTCTGAAGTAGTAATTGGCATTAACTTGCTGCATGTCTGATTCTGCAGTTCCCTTGTTTTTGGTTCCCCATTTTTATTTTTTTTACCTCGTTGCAGGCAACTCTTCATTTCATGACCATTTTATGGGTTTGTAACCTGAAACCATTTTGTTCCAAACTGTATTCTGAGAAAATAATATCTTAATGACTTGATGACCAGACCAGCTTTAAGTGAAGAAAACAGACAACCATTTTTCTGTTAATTGTGTCGATGCCAGCGCCTCAAACAAATAAAAACTCCCAACTGACTAACTCCTGTTGTTTTTTATTTTAATTTTGTTCTGCTTGTTCAATAGTCTTGACATCTAAAAAAAGATTTACTTTGAGCAAATATCAGATGGTAAGTGTGTTTAGATCATGTGGAAAATTTCAAATAGCTATCACACTTGTATTTATCAAATATTGTGTTACTGTGTGTGTTTATCATTGTTATTGTGCTCCATGTAGTCTCTGAAATTCTGCCATTTAATCAAACCAAATGTATTGTTTAGGCACATGGGACGACCGTTTCTTCCTAAAATGACACTACATTTTGTGTGTTAGTCATGCCTTTCTCTTAGAGCAGAATGCTAGTGTGAAATCTAAAATGTGTGTCTTAAGGTTTTCACCAAAGTAGAAGTTATTGATCAAGGATACAGAACCACCGATATTGCACACACGGTAATATTGCATTTGATGCTTTATACAATTGGTCAGTACAGTTCAGTTCACCTCTGGTAAGCCCTCATCTTATTCAATTTTAGTTGATAACTAAATTATATCATTTCTAAATTGAATGATGAGCTACGGCCCGTAACTACTACCCTTGGAATGTCATTCAGTCGGAGATAGAATTAAATACATGTTAAGCGAATGAACGCCGTGATACGTCATCCGGAGGGGGCTGTCCCTTCTTTGTTGTCAGCCAATCAGCGTTGAAATAGGATGTACATTAACCAATCGGTGGTGAGTTACGTGAAATAGGCGGGCCCTTGTCAACCACGATCACGTACATTGTGGTGAACTTTACTGGTGTTGAACCTACCCCTGGACCCAAACCTTCAGCGTGAGTAAACCTTAACATGGCATAAGTACTTTTATGAGGGGTTAATTTGAGTGTAAACACGCCACATATCTTAATCCCTATTACCATATTTTCCTTGTGAAGACTTAAAGATCTTGTGCTCGAATCCACATGGCTACCTAGCCAGCTAGCTAACCAACCAACCCTGCTAGCCTGCATGAAGCTCACAGGTTAAATGCTGCAAGCGGATAGTTTTACAGGCTTATCTCCAAAGGTGTCCTCTGTAGCAAACAACAAGCTCCTATTCGATATTTCTTGCAGTTGTATTGTAACATTTTAAAGTTGTATTTTATATATTGAGAGTTTGACAACGCTGGGCCTTAGCTACAACAAACCAACCTTACGTTACTTACTGTCAGGAGGACTCTTGACAGATCACTGGAGCTTGCAAGTGAGCTAACTATTGTGGAGCTAACTGCATTGGAAGTACTCTGTGGGGCTTATTGTGGTATAGGTTTATTGTTTGCATAACAGAACACTTGTATCTTTATGTTTAATTCTTGCAATCTAATACTGCAAATGTGACATATTATTTAACGAAGTAACCTGGAGCTGTTATATTTAACGACATTAATATCATTAATTATAGAATTCTACTGTATTTACTGTAATTGTGTATTTTCTACTGTTATCTTTAATATTATGATGCATGCTTCTTAATCTATATTAAGCTATCTTTGGCTCTTTATTTGCTGTTATGTACATTTCCCCTCTGTAGGACGAATACAGTTATTCTGATTCTGTATAGTCTGTCACAGTCTCAGAGTATGGGCAGTGTGTTGGCTGCCGCCTCCCCCAGTCCTGCCCCAGCTGCAGCTGGAGGTAGTCCAGGGGTCCCGGGGCTGGGGTCTGTCCCTCCAGGGTTTGCCATGCCCTCGGTGTCTTCCGTCCCTGCTACGTCTGACCAGCAGACAGCAGATGCAGACTCCCCTCTCCCAAATCCTGGCACATATGAGGAGTGCCACCGCAAATGTAAAGGTAAGAAAAAAAAAATTGTGTGATGACCCAGTAATGAAATTTGTTTCAACATTTGTTCCACTTTAGGTCTCTTATTATACTCTTTTTCATCAATATATTATAGGTCTCAGATATATACAAACATGTCTCTGAAGTGTTTGGCTCAAAATACCAAACGGATCATTCCAGCATCCCATAATCCCCTCTGTTTCAGCCCTGTTTCAAAAGTGCTGATTCTCTGTCTTTTACTTTAGATGAAAAATAAGGAGCCCCTCCCCACGCCCCTCTGAGAGAGATTTGGTTAAAAAGAACACAATGGTCCTCTAGGGGGAGATTCAGGTGATAAGGGGGGGTGATTGGCTAATGGTTACACAAGCCAAATAAATTGTTATGACATCATAAAGGGGCCAAAATCTGATCTGCTCATTTTCAGACAGGTTTTTATACAAATGGATCAGGACAAAAAGTGAGGGAATCTTTTTTCCTGAAC